AGGTAGGTTGTGCATTATTTTCCTCTGTCCTTTTTACCTTCAATCTATCCTCTGTGTGTCAGATTTTCCAAGCTCTCTTTCCTCATTATGTGCCCTGTAAATTTCAACTGTCTCTTCCTGATGTAAATCAAAAGTATCCTTTATGTTGCCATTGTTTCTAGAACTTGTTACTCACATGTTCGGTCCATAGTATTCTCAGCATCCTTTTGTAGAACCACATTGCTATTGCTTCAAGTCTCTTCTTCATCTGTGAGGAGACTGTCCAGCATTCACTGCCATATTTAAATGCAACATCAATTGTCATATATCTCCTTGATTCCTGTTATTTTATTGTCTTTTCTTCTCAGTAATGTTTTCCTCAGTTTCTTTCATTCTCAGTAACTTCTTGCATCTTAGTGGCTTTATTACATGGGATGAAATGATTAAAAAAATAAAAGTATTATAAAATAAAAGCAAAGAAGTTTTTATAGAATCAAAATTGAAGTTTCATTATACTGAAAATATAGAGAATTTGTCTGATTCTTAAATACTGCACTTTCAACTTCAAAATGTTCATTGATTCTGTCCAAATTTTCTTTTATTATATCAGGAATTAACCTCTGATATACACTCACTTAGATTTTTAATTAAAACTTTTCAATTGAGTTTCAAATGAGCTGAATTTGATTCAAGCAAGGCAACACAAGTATGGTCAGTTCAGATTTCTCAGGCATCACCAAAACTTTTAAAATTAATTATTCTATTTGGTTTTGTCTAAAGGTAGAATTTTATCTCTGGACAAAAACCATCAAGGAGGCTGTATGATGCATTCTTTAATAAAAGTGTTTACAAACATCAAGCAATCAAGAAAAATAAATATTTCGATAAAAAAAATATGCTAAGAATTTTTTTTTTATTTATTTGGAAGGAAATGAATAACAAAATTATGACTGCTTTCATTAGTAATTTTTTTGTTTCTCTTTCATTGATCTGATCAATTGCTTTATTCTTTTCTATCATTCCCTCTGTCTCTTTCACCAACTTCTTTTCTCTCTTTCTTTATTTCAGTTGTCCTCCTATCATAATTTCTCTCTTTTTCTTTCCTTGTCTGTTTCTCTTTCATTGCTCTTATCAATTGTCTTAATAACTCTTTTCTCTCTGTCTCTTTCACCAACTTCTTTTTTTCTCTTTCTTTATTTCAGTTGTCCTCCTATCATAATTTCTCTCTTTTTCTTTCCTTGTCTGTTTCTCTTTCATTGCTCTTATCAATTGTCTTAATAACTCTTTTCTCTCTGTCTCTTTCACCAACTTCTTTTCTCTCTTTCTTTATTTCAGTTGTCCTCCTATCATAATTTCTCTCTTTTTCTTTCCTTGTCTGTTTCTCTTTCATTGCTCTTATCAATTGTCTTAATAACTCTTTTCTCTCTGTCTCTTTCACCAACTTCTTTTCTCTCTTTCTTTATTTCAGTTGTCCTCCTATCATAATTTCTCTCTTTTTCTTTCCTTGTCTATTTCTCTTTCATTGCTCTTATCAATTGTCTTAATAACTCTTTTCTCTCTGTCTCTTTCACCAACTTCTTTTCTTTCTTTATTTTAATTACCTTACTCCTATTATCAGCTCCCTTTCTCTCTCTCTCTCTTTCTTTTTCTCTCTCACTTTCTTTGCTTAATTTTCTTTTTCCTTGGAATTATTTTAATTACTTCTTTTCTCAAACTCTCTTTTTTATGCAATTGAGAAAAAAAAAATTCTAAAAACAAGTTCATTAATAAAGTTTTAACACACAAAATGTTTGTCCCATTACCGTAATTTGAAAGGAGAAACTACAATTCATCACCTATAAGCAGAGACTAACAGATGCATGATGGGAAAAGCCATGTTTGTACAAAATTCAGGTACCGTCTGATGATTGCTAATGAAGACAGCATTAAACACAACTAATGACCAGAACAAATTCAAGAATCTTTCAAAAAATAAAAAAAAATATGGTAAAGAACTGAAAAATAGAAATATAATTAAATGAGAAAATTTATTGATGTTTTGTATCATGAGAACAACTGTATTGTTATGTGATGTGAAAGGTTGTAAAGAAAATTTGTGATGAGCTGAGGGTATGGTAGGGTGATAACAGAAAAAGAGGGAGAGAAAAGTAACAGAAGTATTTTTGATACTGGTGAAGAAAAGAGAATAGAAAGAAAGATCTAACAGAGAAACAATGAAAGAAAAAAAGAGATTTGAGAAAGGGAAAGCAAATGAAAGCTCAAAATGAAATGAACAAGAAAAACATGGCCAATATGAGAATGACAGAGTGAATGAAAAAGAGAAAATGAATAAAAAACAAAAGTGATAAAACAAAGAAAGAAGGCAAAATGAGGATGTGTCTGAAAAGTGAGAGACAAGAAGAGGAAATAAAAAGTTGAATGACTAAGAAAAGTCAAATGAGAAAAGGAAAGAGAAAAAGAAGTGGAATATTAACTAGAGAAAGAAATTCAAAGTAAATAAATTATCTCCCCTTTTTTTTGCATAATTTTTTTGGCACTGCAGTTTTCTAAATATTCCTTTCTTGCTCTTCTGTTCTTTTGCTTATCAGACACCATTTGATCAAGCATTTAGTCATTTTTTTTACTTCTCTGATTTTTTTTAATCTTCAGTATTTAACTTTCTTTCTTTCTTTCTTTCTTTCTTTTCCATTTACTCATTTCTCTCCTTCTTATCAACCTTCTAATCTTTCTTTTATTCTTTCTCATACATTTACTCAATTCTATGTTTCTATGTCAACTTTCTTTCATACTTCCTTTTTTTTCATCCATCTTTTTATTTCTATCTGTGTCGAATTTCTCTTTTTCTTTCTCCTTCAACTACACATTTCTATCTTTCTGTGTCAACTTCCTTTTTGTCTTTCTTTCTTTTTCATCTACCATTTTATTTCTATCTTTCTGTGTCAAATTTCTTTCTTTCTCATCCATCTATTCACTTCTATCTTTCTATATCAACTTTCTTTCTTTTCTATCTACTCATTTCTACTTTATTTCTTTCTTTTCCATCTACTCATTTCTCTCTTTCTTCTCATCCTTCTAATCTTTCTTTCTTTTTTCTCATCCATCTATTTCTATCTTTCTATATCAACTTTCTTTCTTTTCTATCTACTCATTTCTACTTTCTTTCCTTCTTTCCCATCTACTTATTTCTCATCATTTCTTTTCTTTTCTTTTCTTTTCTTTTCTTTCTTTCTTTCTTTCTTTCTTTCTTTCTTTCTTTCTCATTCATCTACTCATTTCTATCTTTCTGTGTCAAATTTCTTTCTTTCTTTGTATTTCATTTTTCTCTCTTCAATTTTACAACCTTTTTTCTCCATCAACCCTCTTCAAATCTTTGGTTATTTTCAGCACTTTATTCCCTCTCCCCATTACCTTTCATTATTTCTTTCTCTGCAGTCATTGTTTTCTTTACTTCTTTTTAAAAATTAATTTAATGCAGTTCTTCAACCAGTTGTCATTTTTCCTCTTTGCAATCTTTTCTTGCATTTTTCTCCATTTTCTTGCTCTTTCCATCTTTCAAATTTTCCCATTGTTGCAAATTTTATTTCTTCTTAAATTCCATCCTCAATCATCTTCCATATTTTCCTCAATTATTCTGTCTTTCTAAATCTGTTTAATATTTTATATATTTTTTTCAAATATCATTTAAAAGTTTCTTATCAATCCAATACTTCTCTTTCAGTCTCCATCTTTTATTTTCTTATTTCTTGCAATTTTATTTTGTCTTTATTACATTTCTTTCTTTACATCTTTGCAAATTAATGTCTTCCTATAACTTCCCATTTTGACTGTCCTACTTCAACCTTCTTATCCGTCTTTTTTGTGTCAAATCCTTCCGTCCTTAGCTAGAGAGATCGGAAAAAAGATTAGATAAATAGAGAGATCGGAAAATTATTACAGGGTACTATGGGTAAATTGTCGCCATTTTATATTTTTAATTTTGCACATGTGCATTGTTTGTTTTTGATTTTGTCAGCTGCACTGTATTGTAGGGTCAGTTGGGTACCATCTCTGAGAAAAAGAGCACCATGATATAATTCATTCTGCTAGGCATTTGGAAATGGCATGCTGCACTGCTTGGTATTCACACCAGAAACTCCAATATGAATATTTCAGAGTATTTTGGTGTCAATCTGAGGACAGTTCAGGGAATTCAGAAAGAGTAAGATGAGTCTAATGGTGATTACAAAGGTGTTTGGAGTGATCACTAGTGATGACGATGTTATGCCTCCATTCATCTTCCCACAGGACTTCAGACTCAACACAGTGGCCTACATCAAGTGCCTTGAGAAGGTAGTGCTGCCCTAAAGACAGTGAATGGTGTAAGACTCTAAGTCTGATAACAGGACTCTGCATCATTCCAAACAAAGCAGGAGAACCCAGTCATGGCTGTCAGACAATTTCTGCATCTGCATCACCCTTTACATCTGGCCACTTAACTCCCTTGACTGCAACACCCTTGATTATTATGAAAGCAATGATTATGGCACCATTCACCAACTTAAATAAGGAGATTGTCCAGAAGAGTTGCAGAAGATGCTGGAGTTGTCTAAGGACCATGCTTGAAGCCAATGGTGATTTTATTGAATAAATTTACTTTTTAGTACGTTAGATATTCTTGTGTAATTTTGGTAAATATATCAGTTAAAATGAGATTTTGTTTTTGTGTAATTTAGACGACAATTTATTCATCCCAACCTGTGTATATAAAATCTATATCTATATATATAGTCATCCACAGACAGACTGTTTCTTCAGTGAGGCTAGATGTCTGATTGCTTCAAGCTGGGATTGAAACCTGACCGATTTGGTATCAGCCAGAGATTCTACCCCTAGGCTACCGTCACACGGCAGAGAGATTTTAAATTTTAGTGTATTTATGCAAAGTGTGTGTGTATATATATGTAGAGAGAGAGAGAGAGAGAGAGAGAGAGAGAGAGAGAGATGAAAATAATTAGATAGAATTGTACAAATAGATAGATAGATTAGATATAGATATGAAAACGATAGATAGATAGATAGATAGCTATATAGATAGATAGATATGAAAATGATAGATAGATAGATAGATAGCTATATAGATAGATAGATATGAAAACGATAGATAGATAGATAGATAGATATGAAAACGATAGATAGATAGATATGAAAACGATAGATAGATAGCTATATAGATAGATAGATAGATAGATAGATAGATAGATAGCTATATAGATAGATAGATATGAAAACGATAGATAGATAGATATGAAAACGATAGATAGATAGATAGATAGATAGATAGATAGATAGATAGATAGATAGATAGAATGACAGCTATTTTCCTGTAATTATAGATCAAAACCATTGCACACGATTTTACTTTTGCAGCAAGTGTGATCCTTATAAAGTCTCCCATTAATGTCATTGTGCCAGACTATTTTAACCTTAGTAAATAAAGGATAAATATTGCACTTTAATGCCCTCCTATAACTTCCCATTTTTATTTCTTCCTTCCTTCCTTTATTCATTCATTCATTCCTCACTTCCTTCATCCCTTACTTCCATATTCCTTCCATCTTTATTTCCTTCCTCCTTTCCTTCCTTCTCTCCTTCCTTCCTTCTTTCCTTCCTTCCTTTGCACTTTCACCACTGTGACATTGCTTTTCCTTCCTTTGATTTCAATCATTTAAATATGCATCCCTTTTTATTACTTTTCTTTTTTTTTTTTTACTTCAGATTGATATCCAATTAGAATTTGGTGCCGACTCAACCAATGCCCACACCAGAGCCTCATTTTCTTTGCTGCTCCAAGAGATTTCTGCCCAGAGGTACATGTCATAAAATGTTCTTTGAAATTCTTTGACTCAATGAATCAATAGGTTTATTTTTAAGTGTGATGAGTGGAAAAGTTCTGTAAACATGATGAGTCTGACCAATTCTTTGTTTCCTGTTTAAATTTTTTTTTCTCTGACAGTGATTACGACCTCAATGATAGCATATCTTTAAAAATGTGTAGGCTGGGTAAAATTAATTTGTTTTTGGAAAAATGGGATCATTATTTATCTTTTGGGGCATGAGTGTTATGGAGAGGAAGACACAAAGAAGAAAAACAAAACAGAAAAGAAGAAGAATTAGAAATAAAAGAGAAGAAAAAGAAAAGCCCAAAACAAAAAAGAGAGTCAAGCCGAACAATAAAAGCAATTGAATGAAAAATAAAAGAAGGAAAATGACGAATGTGAAAGCTTCAAATGGAAAGAGTGAAACTGTAAAGTGGAAAGAAAATATGAAAACGAAATAAGTGATGAAGAAGAAGAATTAGTAAAAAAAAAAATTGTTATCAAAGTGAATGTTGGTGATGGGGATGGAATGACTAGCAAAGACAGTTAATTAAAAAACTTTATAAACAAATAAAAGACACAATTGCAATATGTATATATTTGATTTTATTTTCAATTTTTAAGGTGTAAAGCATGCACAACATATTAAAACAACCAAGTCACATATATGTACACATACATAAATTTATGTAAAGAGACTGAGATAGATAGATAGATAGATAGATAGATAGATAGATAGATAGAAAGTCACAGACAGATACATAACAAACTGCAATAGATAGATAGATAGATATATAGATAGATAGATAGATAGATAGATAGATAGATAGATAATGAACAAACTGAAATAGATAGATAATGAACAAACTGCATTAGATAGATAGATAGATAGATAGATAGATAGATAGATAGATAGATAGATAAAAACAAACTGCAATAGATAGATAGATAGATAACAAACTGCAATAGATAGATAGATAGATAGATAGATAGATAGATAGATAGATAGATAGATAGATAGATAACAAACTGCAATAGATAGATAGATAGATAGATAGATAGATAGATAGATAGATAGATAGATAGATAGATAGATAATGAACAAACTGAAATAGATAGATAGATTTGTAGAAAATAGAGAGACAGACATGCTTAAATATAGAAAGTGAGAAAAGTTGAGGTGAGACAATAAATGGCAAAGTCATAGACAGAATGAGAAAATAGTTTGATCCAAAGATATGAGACAAACAAAATAAAAAAAAGGAAGACTGTAAGCAGGAGTAACTGACCAAGAGAAAAGTGTAGAAACTTTTGAGTTTGTAAATGAGTTTTTTTAATGAATAGGTGGACATGAGTAACTGAAAAATAGGAAAAAGAAGAAAAGAAATCTGGAAGCATAGGAGGAAAGTTTACTTCAAGACTCAAAGGATTCATGAATACAGTATTATTTCAGTTTTTCAAGATTTCTGATGGAACTGGTTTTGTTCAGAAAGAACATAAAAATTAAGGATAAAAAATAAAATTCAAAGTTTAGGAAGAAAGAAAGACAGAAAGAAAAGAAAGAATGAAGAAAGAAAAAGGAAGAAAGAAAGAAAAAAAGAAGAAATAAAGAAAGAAAGAGAGAAACGAAGGAAAGAAGGAGGGAAAGAAGGAAGAAAGAAAAAGACAGGAATGAAGAAAAGAAGAAAAAAGAAGGAAGAAAAAAGGAAGGAAGGATGAAAGAAAAAGGAAGGAAGAAAAAAGAAAGGAAGGAAGAAATAAATAAAGAGAGAGGGAGAGAAACAATGGAAGAACAAAAAAACAAAAGAAGAAAGAAGAAAAAAAGGAAGCAAGTAAGAAAGATAGAAAAAAGTAAGGAAGAAAGAAAGAAAAACAAATAAAACTAAGAAAGGAAGGAAGAATGAAAGAAAAAGGAAGGAAGAAAGGAAGAAAAAAGAAATGAAGAAAGAAAGAAAAAGGAAGAAAGAAATAAAGAAAAAAGAAAGAATGAAAGAAAAAAGATAGAAAAAAGAAGAAAAATAAAAAGGAAATAAGAAATAAAAAGAGAACGAAGGAAGGTAGAAAGAAAGAAAAAAGGAAGGAAGAAAGAAAGAAAGAAAAAAGGGCGAAAGGAAGAAAGAAATAAAATGAAATGAAGAAAAATGAACAGGAAGAAAGTAAGAAAGAAACAAAGAAAGAAACAGAAAAATGAAGAAAAGAGGAAGGAAAAGGGAAGAAAGGAAGAACAAAGGAAGGAAGAAAGAAAGAAAAAGGAAGGAAAGAAGAAATAAAGAAAGAGATAAACGAAGGAAGAAACACAGAAAGGAAGGAAGAGAGAAAGAGAAAGAAGACAAGAAAAAAGGCAGAAGAAATAAAGAAAGACAAAGGAAGAAAGAAAAAAGAAAAAAGGAAAGAAGGAAGGAAGGAAGAAATATAAAAAGAAAGAGAGAAACAAAAGAAGAAAGAAAAAAGAAAGAAGAAAGAAGAATGAAGGGAGAAAGAAAGAGAATGAATGAAAGAAAAAGGAGCAAAAAAGAAAGAAAAAATGGAAAAAAGAAAAAATAAGGAAGGAAGAAATAAAGAAAGAAAAAGAGAAACGAAGAAAGAAAGAAAGAAAGAAAGAAAGAAAGAAAAAAGGAAGGAAGGGAGGAAGAAAAAAGAAAAAGGGAGGATGGAAGGAAGAAAGAAAAAGAAAGAAAAGAAGAAAAAGGAGAGAACAAAGAAATAAGTGATTGAAAGATATAAAGACATGTCAATTTAAAAGAAAAGATCCAGTTAAAAATGCGAAGAAATAAAGAGCAGAAGAAATTATCAAAAATGTTGAGAATGATAAATGAATGAAAAATAAATTTTGAGAAAAGAAAACAATATAGAAAAAAATATTTAATAAATGAATGGAAAAATGAAGAAATACATGAAAAAAAATGAAACATGAAAGAAAATTGCATCAACCAACACTGTATCTGAAAATGAAAAGAAACAAAATGAAGGAGTAAAAAAAAATGAAACGGTAATAAAGAAGGTGAAAATGAAAAAGAGTTTATAGAAATGTAAATAAACAAGAACAATGAATAGATACAAAGACACACACATACTCACACACACATACTGACAGACACATGCCTTACTTGAGGTGAAATGACTATATATACATGCTGTATCAGAAATACTTTTACAAACTTTGGGGGTGGGTTCCTCACACCAAAACAAGGACAAAAGTCCATATAAACATATTTCCTCAAATCCTTCATTTGAGTTATTAATTTTAAAGAAAGTTTACAGTAGATGACACTGTGTTGCTATATAGACTAGGTTACATTAGTCATTTGTGTATGTTTGTGGCAACTCTGTACTTCAATTTTTAACTTGTGTAGTAGTGAGTTAACTGAGAAGTTTTCTGTTTAACAATGGCAGGATATTCAAAATTTGTAAAAGTATTTTCAGATTGTATCTTGAATTGTATATTTAACAGCATCTACTGTAAACTAAATACCTCAAAAAAGAAAGATTTGCAGACCTTTGTTTATATGGACATTTGTCCTTGTTTTGGCATGTGGAACCCACTTCCAAAGTTTGTATAAATGTTTTTAATACACCATATATATATATATATATATATATATATATATATATATATATATATATAGTAAGTGTGGACAGAGGAATCAACATTTCATGAACACCTTGATTAATTAATCATTGTGGCATGAAACTGACAGTAATAATGCAGTGTTGATACCTACGTCCATAATATTTATATCTATAAACTCCCTATCTTTCACTATATTATAAAAAATTTAAAACAATATGTGTGTGTGAGTGTGTGTGTATATATATATGTGTGTGTGTGTATATATATATATATATATATATATATATATATATATATAATAGTGCACAGTAAGTGCATGTAGTAATGATACAACTGTTCAATATAAAATAAGAGATGTGTGTGTATATATTCCAAGTTTTTATTAAATAACTCCAAATAATATGATAGAAATAATGTTTTAGTCTTTTATTTTGTTTTCTGTTGTTTTTCCATCATTTGTGCTTTTGTTTTTTGTTTTCATTTCACTGTGAAAGTTTTAATGCATTTCTTCTCATCTAATTGGAATTCACAAGAAAAATGTCAACTAACAAGAAAGCAAGTTGAAAGTTGAAAATATCTCAGAAAGAATTTTAAAGCAGAATTTGAAAAACAGAATAACAACAACTCAAACCAAAAGAAAAAAAAACAAAAGAACAAAAAAACAACATAGAAAATAATTTGCAGAATTACATCTTTAAATCAATCAAAAAAAAAAAAAGAAAAATAGCACATAAAAAATAAATCATAAATTTTAAACAGGAAAACACTGGAAATAAAACATTAAACATTTATTTTAAAAAATCAATAAATCAAAAAAATACACTAGCAATAAATCAGAGGTACAAATGTTTAGAATATAAGAAAAGATTGTCTGATACGGATGTCTAATTCACACCAATGTGTTATCTAGAAATTATGATTCTTGGTTGTAGCAGAATTCTTTGAAGGATTTTGGCATGTTCCATGAGTTTGCAAAAGATATCACTTATACAAATGTGGAATGTATTTTATTTGGATAGTAAGACACTTAGTTTTCAAGTTTAAATCCCATGAAAACAGACTTCTGTATTAAAAAGAAACATAAACGGAACAGTTAGAATTAATGATTGCTAGAATAGAAGGAGTGGCAGAAAAGACAAAAAAGATGAATGGCAAGAAATGTAGGCAGTAAAGAAGATGGAAAAAGGAAATAAATATATGTGTTGGGTCTATGCATGTGGTGGAACTAAGGAATGTTGCTGATCAGACTATTTGCCATGGAAATATTGATAGAATAGTGAGATGTTTGCAACATTTGGTCTATGGGCAAGGGGATGCAGGTTGAAAAACGATCCATCACTCAAAGGGCTGCATAGATTTTTTCAAACTCTATCAAGAATGTCAAGTGAGGACTGAACAGCTCCAACCCAGATATGACAACATCTTTATGGCCAAAGAGATGCAGTTTCATCTCATCTGACCAAATGAAAGACATGGAGTGAAAGGTCGATTGACATCTTCCCTTCTAATCTTCATGACCTCAATTACTTACTACCTTTTCTTCTATTCATATCACCCACCTTATTCTGCAAAATGTTTTTTAATCTAATCTGGAGTGGCTCTCAAGCCTTGACCTGGCTTAACTTTAATATATAAAGAAATCTTAGCAGAAAACTGAAGTTAAATAAATGTTATTAACTGCTAAGATTTGATCAGCACAAGTTTCATTATATTTACTTGGTGTGTTCATAAAGTCACTCAGTGGTTGTAGCAAAACTTATTATTTCTTAACTCAATTGACTATTCAGATATAAAAAGGGATGTTGAAGGTACTCAATCAGATAACATGCAAATGAAGAGGCTATAAAACTGGCTTAGGTAAAAAAAAAAAAAGGCACATGAATTAATGATGGCTCAGCAAACAAATTTACACAAATTATTTAAACTCCCCAATAAAATTCATCATTAGGTCTTAACTGTACAGAAATTGCAAATAGCATTCTGAAGCTGTAAGTTTTAGTACATAGATAGATAGATAGATAGATAGATAGATATGAAGAAATATATATATATATATATATATATAGATAGATAGATGAAGAAGCATAGATAGATAGATAGATAGATATGAAGAAACCTAGACAGACAGATAGATAGATAGATAGATAGATAGATAGATAGATGAAGAAACCTAGATAGATAGATAGATAGATAGATAGATAGATAGATGAAGAAGCATAGATAGATAGATAGATAGATATGAAGAAAGAAAAATAAGTATGATGAAACATAGATAGATAGATAGATAGATAGATAGATAGATAGATAGATAGATATGAAGAGTCTTCAAAAGATAGATAGATATGAAGTCTTCGAAAGATAGATAGATAGATAGATAGATAGATAGATAGATATGAAGAAACCTAGACAGACAGATAGATAGATAGATAGATAGATAGATAGATAGATAGATAGATGAAGAAGCATAGATAGATAGATAGATAGATAGATAGATATGAAGAAAGAAAAATAAGTATGATGAAACATAGATAGATAGATAGATAGATAGATAGATAGTTAGATAGATAGATAGATAGATATGAAGAGTCTTCAAAAGATAGATAGATATGAAGTCTTCAAAAGATAGATAGATAGATAGATAGATAGATAGATAGATAGATAGATAGATAGATAGATAGATAGATAGATATGACACAGCTGTTTGAGGTTTCCTATAGCCCCACTGAACTTAAATAAAGTCAATTCTGGTTAGCTATGGTAAAAATTTTCTATCCCAAGTAAAAATAATCACAAAAATGGCAAAAGTAATTTTGTCACAGCTTATTTTCTCTCAAAAAATAGATTTTCATATTTTTATAGGGGGTAAAATATTGAAAAATGACTGTTTTATCATCACCTAAACGAATATCAAGGAAACTTTTGATCTGAACCCCATGAAACTAGGTATTTTCTAAAAGCAAAGGATATATTCTTTCATGTAAAAGTAAAATTGACTGGTGTAAATGAATCAAAATTTTTTTCAGGGGATAAAATTTGAAAAAATAGTGAAAATTTTGCATTTTTTCTAGTTCTAAACAAAAGTTTTCCCCATTAATGCGAAATTAACCATTTTTTTTAAAAAAAACGGAAAGCCTAAATCATAATCAAACTATTTCAGGCATAAAATTGAGAGTTTTGAAGGAAATCAACATTCCTAGGGAGTCAAAATGTGACAATGTCCATTGGTAATTTCAGTTAAATGACTGCCAGAAACCAAAAGTTTTTTTGCCAAAAAATAGCAGTGATAAGAAAAATTAAACCAAAATGACTTTGACATCTCTGGGTCAAAGGACAGCGAGCAATAAACGTTTAGAACAAGTTGTAATAAAACCCACCACTCCCAGATAAGAGCAAAGAGTGAAAAAAAAAGGGTCAACATTAGTCGGGCTTGATATAACAATGGCTTGATGTGTTTTGTTTTGTTTTGTTTTGTTTTTAACACCCCGTGACCCGGGTGATGACAGCAACACTTAGCAGACGACATTGTTTTTTTCGCCACATATCAATGATGTTCATGCTAAATTAAGGAGAAAGGGATAAAGTTTGAATGATATTACTTTGAAGTGAAAATAAATATTTTTTCATAAAAAAAGGGGATTTTTCTCAGAAAATTGGGCATAATTTCTTAATGCTAACCACCAAGTGACATTTTCCACAGCCAAATCAAAGATTAATTACCAATGAATAATTCCATGTGTAAATAATAGCTGCCTGGATCCTATAATGCCACCCGAAAAGGTCCAGAAGTTTACTGATTGATCAAAAACTTATTGCACATAATTGTTTTTCATGGTCACTTTCCATTATTTCATCTTGATGTTGTAATTTTCAGACACCCAAGTCATCAAGAATTCAGAAAAACAGTTTCGCATAGGTTTGCTTTAAGAACTTTACATTCTATGAGGTGCTTAAAATGTTACTGACGAATGAGATTTTTGCCAAATATTTCATTTTTGTTGGATTTTCCTATATGACAAAAACAAGGCTTTTAAACAGCCGTGATGAAGAAACCTAGGTAGATAGATAGATATGAAGAAACCTAGATAGATAGATAGATAGATAGATAGATAGATATGAAAAAAACCTAGATAGACAGATAGATAAATATGAAGAAACCTATATAGATAGATAGATAGATAGATATGAAGAAACCTAGATCGATATGAAGAAATATATTTATATATATATATATATATATATATATATATATATATATATATATATATATATAGAGAGAGAGAGAGGGAGAGAGTATGAAACCTTGTAGTCTATGTAACATTGTAGACTAAATATATAACCATGTATTCAGTATATCTAATCATGTAGCCTGTGTATGAAACCATGTCGTCTATGTCTGTATTTGATGAACCTAATGTTTTAACAATATTCTTCTTTATGAGCCCTGTCCCCCTCAGGACATAAGCGATCATGGCTCTCCATAACTTCCTGTCCCTTGTAACTTTTAATAAACTTTGTCTTTTTGCTATTTCTCCTAAGCTCTCTTCCCAGCATCCATTTACACAAGCTTGCTAAGTATGTCATGCATTATTTACCTATCTATCCCATGATTAGCAAATTTTTCAAACCCTCTGTCCTTGTTATGTACCCCAGAAACCTCAGCTGTCTCTTCCTGATGTTAAGTATTAGTTTCCTTTTAGTTTCTATTTTCTCCAAAATTTTGTTGTTGCTCACAAGTTCAGTCCATGGTATCCCCAGAATCCTTCTGTAGAACCACATTGCTGTTGCTTCAAGCTCCTTTTCATCTTTGAGGAGATCATCCAGCAATCACTGCCATACAAGAGGATAGATATCATATACCAGTTTAGTACTCTTTTCCTTGTTCTTTTTTTAAGTTGTCATTAAACATTGCTAAATTTTTACAATTCCCAATTCTATGAATTAACAGATAATAGCCAGCTACTTATTCAAAGCCTTTTCTAGACATTCCCTAGCAATATTTTCTTCCAACATTTTCTAGAATGAGAATACACCTTTGAATTAAACCAAATTAAACTAAATTAACCAACTCATTAATCTTATTATTAAATGAAATATGCATATTTTAAATTTCTGAACACCACCTTTTTCTATTCTATTATTCCTTGGTTTTGAAAAACCATTTTTGCTGGAGATGACCTTAGACACCAGAGTCAAGATGGATTCCTTGCAAAGTCTCCAACAGAAAAAGTTTGACCTCATGGGAATTGTTTGCATCTTTTCTTGGTATTGTTCAAGTTGAGCCTCTGTGTGAAGTTTACTATTTCTATATTGTATGCCTTCAAGAGTAATTTTCAATTCTTTTGGTAGTTGACCCTTTGAGACTCTTGGGATTTGTAAGAGTTACCAAGTTTTCAGAGTAACTCATGGTACTCTTGTCGGGTGGGGAGAGTAGAAGATGACAAAGAAGAACGGTATACAGAGTGGGAAGGGAGATTAAGTGGTGAAATAAAGAGAGAAAGAAGGAAAGAAGGCAAAAAAGAAGGAAGGAAAGAAAGAAAGAAAGATGAAAATGAAGAGGAAATTGAAATTAAAAAGAAAGAAATAAAATGTTAATTTATAGAAAAAAGACTTGAAAATGTGAAAACAAATTATAATGCAAAATAAAAGTCATGAAAGAAGAGGCTGAATTAAAAGAAAGAAAGAAAAATGGTGTGAAAAAGAAAGAAAGATTTAGGACCAGATGAAGATAAAAATGTAATTAAGATAAAAAAGAATAAAAAGTAATTTTTTTAAAGATAGAATAGGAGATAGCAAAACAAAGATAAAATGTGATGAAATTAAAATTAAAATTAAAAAAGAAAAATTATGAAAGAAAAGAAGAGGCAGAATAAAAAGAAATAAAGAAAATTTGGGGTAGAAAGAAAGAAAGAAAGAAAGAAAGAAAGAAAGAAAGAAAGAAAGAAAGAAAGAAAGAAAGAAAAATTAGATGTTAGGAAAGAAAGAAATATAGATTAAAAGGATGAGAATGAAAGACAGAAATGAGAAGATGGTGGAGAAAGAAAGAAAGAAAGAAAGAAAGAAAGAAAGAAAGAAAGAAAGAAAGAAAGATGAGAAAGAAAGAAAATGAGATGGTGGAAAAAGAAAGAAAGATTAGAAGGATGATAAAGAAAGAAATGAGAAGACAGTAGAAAGAAAGTAAGAAAGTTAGAAGGATCAGAAAGACAGACAGAAATGAGAAGATGATGGAGAAAGAAGGATAATAAGAAAGAAAGATTAAAAAGATGAGAAAGAAAGTCAGAAATGAGAAGATGGATGAGAAAAAAAGAAAAGCTCTAAATCTAAATATATGTGAAAATTGAGAGAAAAAGAAAAACTGAAAGAATAAGGGGGTACAAGAGAAGGAAATGAATCAAGAAGAAATAAAGATAAAACAATGAGAAGGAAAATATGGAAAGGATAAACTATTTGTTAAATAAAGAAAAATGAAGGAAGAAGAATTGTATTTAAAGTAAGCCTTTGAAAGTGACAAAGAAAGAAATGGAAATGGAAAAAAAGAAGAGTACAATCATACGATACAGCAAAATATGAGTCTGGGGAAATCAAGAAAAAAGCTTGCAGAAAAAAAAAACTATAATGGAATTACTTACCATATTTGATGTCACATAAGAACCTCCTTTTTTACCCCCAAATGCCTCAGAAAATATCTCCTGTATCTCATATGCAAAACTGTCCTACCTGATAGGCTAACATTTACTCAGATGCTGCAGACAATGAAATGTCATATTTTGATAGATGACAAAAATTACTTTCATTTAATCAAAATGCATTTTTATTTAATCAAAATAATTTCCATTTTTTCCATTATTTACATGTGGGCTATTGTCCTCACCTTTGTTGTTGTTATCACAATATTTCAGCCATTCTGTTCTTTATTTCAGCCATTGTGTCCTTTATTTCAGCCATTGTGTCCTCATCAGGTATATGTTGATCCAGGTAATCTAGAGTGAATTTCAAACTGAACCTTTTTATTTACTCCATGTGCATAATCTGTTCACGTTTCATTGCCCATTTCTAGTGCTATCTCATCTAGTTCTTATTTAGTACAGCTCAGTTATTGTCCACCAAAAGTTCCTGGCACTGGGATTGAACTCCTGCATTTACTTTAAATGTTTAATCCATTTTGTTCTGCAGTTTCCTTCCATTGTAACTCTAATTTAATTATCCTATTTAAAAAAAAAATCTTCACCAGAATAAACTGTTCAAATTATTTAATTACGCCTACCCTATAAGAAAATATTTTACTGTGAATGGATAATAAGTGGCAAGATGGCTGGTGTATAAAGTAGATGCTCCAGTAAGTGATAATCTGTGGCAAGATGGTTTCTGTATAAAGTAAATATTCCAGTAAATGATAATCTGTGTAGAGATGGCTGGTGTATAACATAGATGTTCCAGTAAGTTAAAATCTGTATTGAGATGGTTGGTGTATAAAGTAGATGCTCCAGTAAGTGATAATCTGTGGCAAGATGGCTGGTGTATAAAGTAGATGTTCCACTAAGTGATAATCTGTGGCAAGATGGCTGGTGTATAAAGTAGATGTTCCAGTAAGTGATAATCTATGTTGAGATGTCTGGTGTATAAAGCAGATGCTCCAGTAAATGATAATCTGTGGCAAGATGGCTGGTGTATAAAGTAGATGTAATACAAATTGCCTGTAATTCTTTACCTTGTTGCAAAACTAAATAATGTTTTATTCCTTTGATTGCCCACCACACAGTAACTATGATCTTTTTGGGATTTAGTAGGGATTTGTAGTGATGTTCCAAGACTCAGCATCTAAGCACTGCCCTGTTATCAAAGAGTATCCATTTCTCTTTGTGGTTATTGATCTGATGCAAAAATGGTTCATTTTTAATTTGGAAGAATAACATGGAACACCATTCTAAGTATAATATTTTGTGCCATCAACTTAAATGCAATCTTCACCATTTCAATAGCTTTTAAATTCCAATGGACAGACATGCAAGATGTTCTATGTTCTCCTGAAAGTTTTCTGACACCTGTTTTTGGAAATTATCTAACAAATACATTCAATTGATAATTTTTATAGCTGAATCAGGTCTTCCTGTTGGTTCATTTTCAAGGCTTTCAACTCCCGATTGGAATTTCTGAAACCATCCCTGTATAGATCTGATAGATCTGATAGATCTGATATTAACAATACTCCTGCCTAATGCCAAAATGACATTTCATTTAACTTTTGTGGCACTGTAGTCTAATTTGAATTCAAATAATATAAACAGTCAACATTATTTATTTGTTATAATTTTCTGGAGACTATGAATAACATTCTTTTTAAGGAATCAATCACTTCAAAACACAACAGCCAAGATATTACTCAAAAAAATATTTTGTCAATTTTTACAAAATCAGAAAACTTAAAATGCAACAATTCATCTGGGATGTTTTGATTGACTGATTTTTTTATGACTTAACAACCTGTTCTGGGTTATTTAAAGCCAAAACATATTTTGGTCATATGGGACTACGTATAACTTTTACATAATCAGTTCTCTAATACTGTAATATTAAATGTAAATAGAAGGAGACTTATATACAGTAAAGTAGCAAGATAAATTATTCATCTATTATATATTTTTATTTCTTACAAAATTGAAATATCTCATCACATTTCTTCAATTTTTGATCTGAGGAAAAAAGATCTTATCTCTTTTGATGATGGGAAAAAATTAAAATAAAAAGATTTTGTCTAAACAAATACTTCATTTTCTGGTTTCTCTGACAAACGTTTGCTTTTAAATAAAAAACGTATGCAACAGGAAAGTTTAAAATGTAGAGATGTAAATCTATTTCTGTATCTTATAATATGTATTAATGATATTTGTTTGTGGCATGGAAAAGTACTGAAATGAATTGCTGCAGTTAGATCTTTAAAGCTTACAATTAATATTTATTGGGTAATAATTCAACTAGCCTTTAATTAAATTAAAATAATTAATTATTCAAACAGCCCTTAATTAAAATGTAATAGAAAAGAATAATGACTACACTCAAAAATTAACTTTAGTGAGACCTGTCTGCTGAAATCAGTTATTTTAACAGAGCCATTTTTTTAGATTATGATTTTATCCATGTACATTCAAACTGAATAATCTTGGCACTTAATTGCCTGTGTCTTTCATGTACTGGGACAAAGAACAGGTTATGAATGTTAATTTCAGAATTTTAAAATACCAACATTAAGAGATATAGCAGTCCACTTCTAAAAGTCTCAAGTGTTTATGTCTAATATTATGAAAAAAATTAACATTCCTGTTAATGAAACATTTAGATTACAAATACAATTCCACATTAGAAAAAAGTCTATTCTTGATTAGAATATAAGTTTATTTGAATTTCTGAGTTTTAGACTCATCCTGGGCCACTTGTTGTGAAGCTGTGCTGCAAGAGACTTAAATACAGTGGCTGGCATTATAGTGAAAGAGTAGAGGTGGGGTCTCACTGGAGAGATACAAAAACTTCATAAAAAGAATCTTCATCTTCTGTGTTAACATTTGTTGATCTTCCTTTATGAAAGCAAAACCACCCAATATACCTGAACACACACACACACACACACACACACACACACACACACATATATATATATATATATATATATATATATATATATATATATATATATATACCAAGCAATCACAATGGGAACAATCTAGAAAGATAAATTTTCAAAGGGAGGTAAAAAAAAGTTTCAAATATGGCAGACATCCAAAGATCCTCCCATTCAAAGTACTAGTTTCTGGTCAGTAGAGAAGTGGAGCTCAACTGAAGTGATACAAGGACACCTAAAAGAATCCTTAATTCTTGTTAAGTTCAACCAACCTCCAATGGGAAACATAGGCAGGTGACATAGTGACAAGGAGGCACAGGATCTAGTAGGCAACATTCCACAGCAAATCAATCTAAAGAAAAAAGAGCAGGAAGAAAGGAACAACTCTGCATGACTGATACCTCCCTGAATTGCCAAAGCTTCTTCTTCTCTTGACATGGAAAAGCATACCTCTGCCATATAAGCTTGATATGGCTGAGGTATAACACACTTGGGAGCATGTAATAGGTGTGAAAACCCTACCAAAGCTTTGTTCATAAAACAAGTCATAAAAAATATTAGCTTATTATTTAACTGAATGTAAGTTTATGTAAAAGACATTTAAGAATGTTTTTCTAAGTTGCATTAAACCAGTAATTAAATTTTGGGGATGAGGATTTATCATTATTTACACTATTTACATTTGGTCTATTATCCTCATCTTTATTGTTTATAAAAACAACAAAAATGAGGACAATAGTGTGAATATAAATAGTGTAAATAGTAATTAAATTGTTATCAATTTACCAAAAAGAATGGGAATTTTTTTTATGTTATGGTTCACCCTGTACAAAGCCCAAGAACCACTCAAGGTAGAGAGTTATAGTGTAAGGGACACAGATGTGGATATGTATGAAAGATAACAATTAACCTTAGACTTGAACAGATTAAGATTGTAATGATTGGGAAAGCAGCCTTTTGGGAGTTGTTGCCACAAAGCATGGGATTTGTGGGAACAATATGCTTGAGTTGAACTTACATCTTACTAGCGAGATACGAAGGGAATAAGGGTGGGGTTCACTACAATGTGTGTGGCATGGCAAGTTTTAGCCATGAAGGTTAGGACTGCTGGATCTAAAGGGTGTAGTTCATCTGAACACACACCATGGAAATAGCAACAGAACAGTGAGGGGCTGGCAACATCTCATCTGTAAAAAAGGATTTGCAGAGTGGAAAACAATTCATCACCCACAAGGATGCAAAGAGGCTTTTGAACTCTATCAAGAGTGGAAAGTGAAGACTGGGCATCTCCCCACCTATATATGGTAGTAGTACTTTATTTTAAGCTTGGTCTGACTCTTGTAATAGTAGAGGATAGCAAGATGAGTAAGGTACTTGCAGGAGTGGTTCAAATCATTTTTCTAGCATCTTTAGTGATGATTCATATGTAAAAGTTCCACTTGAGGCTGAGTTTAAGTCCCAATAGACACTCAAGGCACCAGCCTCCCTGAAGGAACATCCATTCAAACAGAATTCAAGCAGATAAGCATTTTTGGGAGGGTTTAGAGAGAGCAAGAGCAAGTTCAGGAGCACATTTTCTTAGGAAAATTGCTGAGGTGCCATCAAGTTCACATGTTTTGTGGAAATCTACTTTGGAGATGATAGCAGAGACCATAGATCAAGCATATCAGTCAGTAGAGATACTGATCTAGTAGAAAATTAGACAAAGATACACCTGGTGAGTTGAGGGTAGAGTTGGAAGAGAATTTATGAGCAAAGCATTCTGCTTTATCAGTAGTATATGCCAATACTTCAATTTGATTGAAGCAAGGATGGATTGCAGAGATACCATTATTTAACACACACAGAACCACCAGTAATCACAAGAACCAAACATGTGAGCAGCTATATGTTGTCTCATTCTATCAGCTAACAGTCATTTATTTTCATTGAGGACAACCTCACACTTATTACAAGCACATACTAAGAGGAGATGATTAAGTACATATCAGCTTTCACCCAGGAAGAAAGCTCGCTGGCACAATTTTTAATGGAAAAATTTCACACAAAGTGGTGTTATGAAGAAAATCATAAAATGAATCCCAATTAGTATGTTGGTAACAAAAATGATCTCATGTGACTGGGGTGTTCTTGACTAATAGATGAGTGTAAAGAAATATCTATAGACAATACAATGTGATCTGCTTTGCTAATAGGGCAGAGTTGCAAAATGCAACAAGAATCTGGGGAGGAGATTTCTTTATTGTCTGTGATTTTCCATGCATACTTTCGAAAGATAGTGGAGTAGTTTCCCATTATTTTCTCCACTGTTTGGAATTCTGAGTTTTCCTTTTCTTAGACTGTTTGCCATGCAAGGCTAAAAAGCCTGTTCTACATTACTATTTAACTCATAACTAGGGGAGAATAGATGGGTTCATGACTTTCTCAAGTAAATTAGTGTGAAAGTGAATGCAACAGCCTAGGCCAGAATTTGAACTCAGCTGCTGATCTCACGTTCTGTACCAATAACTATTATACTATTGTACACTCTAACCACACATCTTTATCTGTACTTGAATTACCCACTTATTCAATTCTGTCTGAAGCATGGTTTCAAACATACCAACTAGTATGGATATTTTTTAATTTTTTTCCAGCTCCTGGATGATGTCGTGGATTATTATTCTCAATTTTTCATTTTCTATTAATTTAACCTTCTTTCACTTGTTTATTATTATCAGATCTGGTATTCTTGCTTGGATCTGATGATTACACACATTATGAAATGTATCCTATACAGAACCATCATATAGCCTGACATGCTTTACTGATTGAGCCACAGAGGAGCGTTTCTGTTAGGAAGGTCAATTTTATTGTTTTTATACTACAATTCTCCATGATTATAGGATACAGGTTCGATTCCTGTTGGAGGACGCATATTTTCTATGAAAATTTCACAGACATTCAGGCTGGTAAACATTGTTAATACTGTTTATTATAAGCAGAGCATTTACTTAAATATTTGTATCTATAAAAAGAATGTATAAAAATAAAAATGTCTTAAAATATGATGATTAGTTTAATTATCAAATTTCCAGATTATTATTCTTATTTTTATAATAGAAAAAAACTAAAGTTTTTCCTAATAACAAAGTTGTGTCCACAGTTCCCAGTACATTACTGTTCCTACCCAATAATGTTTGCTTTTGTATTTCTTTTTAATCAATTTTTGCATTATTATTATTAATAATATTAATAATAATATTATTAGTGAAATATCCATATCAATATCTTGCATATAGTTTTTACATCTTAATCATTTTTAATTTTTATGCAAACATTTTTGGCTGATATTTTCCTTGTCCTTTAAATACATTGTAAGAATTCAGAACAAAGAAATAAGTTAAGATGAAACTGAAAATCAGATTTTAGGTTCCCCCGACCATTCCAAATTTTTACTTCTTAATTGGAAGGCTGAAGAATATATCAGTCAAAAATATTCTCATAAAAGGAAGAGAAAAAATGATAATATAAAGAAAAGGAAAAAATATGTGGGATAAAGAAAACAGTTCAGCTTAGAACATCAGACAACTTAAAGTACTTTTATAATTCTAATTGTTATTGTCATTATATTTATTAGAATTTGCATCTTTGGAAGTTTTTTTTGATTCTATCGGAATTGATGTATGGGTTTGTTTTCTTATCAAGCAATGTTGCTTAATTCAGGACAAATGATAAAAATAACAATAAATTTTTCCCATTTCCTTTTTTTTGTTCTTCTTTTGTTGGTTAACAAACATAAAATATATTTTATTTATTTTTCTCTCTTTGAATAATAATAAAAAAACGTGTGGATAAACAATCAGAAAATTAACCCATTTTCTTTTTATTGCCCTTTTTTTCTTTTTTTTTCTTTTTTTTTTTGTTTGGTTATTTCACTTATCAGCACATTCAGAAGAGTTTCTGATTTTTTTCTTTTCTTTATATCCAAAAACATTTTGCTGAAGAATTACCTTTCTTATTATTCATGAATAATGCTTAGCAAGAGAAAAAAAATCAATCACCTTGAATGACAAAACTTGATCCAATGAAGTTTATATTAAAGAAAATTCCATCTAGATTTTTTTATTGTTCAGGAAACAGATTTGCTTTTCACCAGTTTTATTTGCAGACAGACTTTTAGATCCAGTTAGATTTATTGACCACAAAGTGAATTATTGCAGAATTTTTCACAAACTATTGCAAGTATTCATTGTTTATTAGGAAAATTTACTGCCTTGAAATAACAATTCATATTCTAAACACTTTCATTAGGGTAACTTCAATGACTAATCGACAGCAACGTTCATCTTGAGGTCATCTTTAACATATTATGTAATATATAATAGTGCCTGATTTATTTTTATCAAATCCAAGTTTAGCAACCCAAGGCAGTAGTATATCCTGTATTATTTGGCTTAGCATATTCATCTTTATTGTTATACGAACCATGTTTTGGCTCATAAGGATTTAATAATCCTTACTGTTATTTTTGAGATTAGGAATATCATTATTATAATACCATATTATTCGTACTATCATGTTCATCTTGCTTCTAATATTCATACAGTTTCAACCATTTTAAAACACACACTAAACAAAGAGTTTTGTTAGCCATGATATGTCTTGGAATTCATAGTGGAGTGATTTTCTGTTGCCTTCTCCACTGTGGTTTATGGAGACACCATCTCTTGATAACTGGGATTGAGCTGTTACATAATATCTGTCCTCCTTTATGGCAACAAATATTGGACAGTCTGCTCAAAGATGAAGAAGAGACTCGAGGCAACAGAGATCTGGTTATACAAAAGGATGCTGAGGATATCATAGACCAAGTGTGTGAGCAACGATGATGCTTTAGAGAGCATGAGAAAAAGGAGGAAGCTTATAGTTAACATCAGGAAAAGGCAGCTGAAGTTTCTGGGACATGTAATGAGAAAGGTGGGCTTGGAGAATCTGATACTCACAGGTCGAACAGAGGGAAAGAGAGACAAGGAAAAGCAATGCATGACATACCTAGTGGGCTTAAGCAACTAGATGACAGAACGTGGTCTGGGAGAGGTGGCAGAGGAACAAAACTTATTGAGAACTACAAGGGATAGGAGGAAGTGGAGAGCCATGATCGCCTATGTCCTGAAAGGACATCACACATAAAAAGAAAAAGAAACAAATGGTTACATTTAGTTAGTTAAAACTATTTGGCATCTAAAAATCTAAAATTTGGCATCTCAGCTTCAGTTACATTCCCAAGGCCATAATGCAGCTTCCCTATGCCTTTGATAAAATCCAAAGAAGAATCTGCAATTTTATTCATCCTGACCTGGCATCATGCGTTCAGTCACTTTCCTACTGCTATAATGTAGCTTCCCTGTTCCTTTGATAAAATCCAAAGAAGAATCTGCAATTTTATTCATCTTAAC